GTTGGAGGAAAGAAGGAATGGGAATGGGGGAACATGCAGGGAGGGTGGAGTTACTCCACTCTTCCAGGTGGCAATGTGTATGAAGCATATGAAGATGCCAAACCTGCTGAGAAAACTATGTCAAATAAAATAAAAAATCTTCTATTTCTGTGTGTTTCTAAAAGATTTAATTAACTGAACATACAGATACACACATCAGAACTATTTTAAAAGAATTGCTTTACAAGAACACTACCAATTATTCCAAAACTGACCAACGCTACCATAGCGTTAAGCAGTGGTATATCTTGTCTATATGTATTATGACACCAGTACCTTAATATTAATCATATTCTGGTTTTCCCACAGACCCTCTGAAGCAGCCAGTTCAAAGATTGACAGTGATACAAATAACATTTAAAAGAAATACGGACTTCATAATTTATTCCCATACCATTAAACCAGTAGAGGGAGAGAAATTTTATAGCACTTATCGTTGGTATATCCAAGTAGACTGAAAACATTAGTGTTATATTTTCATGACTAATCCTAAAGCATTTCTTCATTTGGCAAATTTCCTGCACTTTCTTCTTGATTACACAACACTGACTGCTCCACTTGGATGATTTAGATGTCCACAAAAGTTTCCTCTGTAGTGCTCTTTTGGTCAGATGGATGTTTCATTTGGACACGTCTTCAACTTTTGCTGTCATTGGATTGATGTCTTGTTATAGCAACATACAGCCTATGTATTTGACTCCTTTTGCTACTCCCTTGCTACTTAATAAATAGGATGTGATGTTTTGTACATGGGCTCTAAACAGCATTTTTATGACAACTGTTACAATTTGTTTCTGGAAAATCTCGAATTATTTTCCTTTTGTGAGCTGTTTTGATAAGTGACATCATTCCAAAAGAGAGATGAGGAAAACAATACATCTCAGATCAAATGATTCCTCACCTAACTTGGTTTCCCAGCATCTGTCTGTCTCTCTCCTCTCTTTGCAGGTATTTTCACAAAGAGACCACCTCTGAACTCATGGTGGTGTAGGACCAGAATGATGTTTGGCTTTGCGTTGCTCCATTAAGACATGACAATCCCCTCATGTGCTGCTGTTACTCTTTTGTTATGACCCAGTTATTAACAGTGGTCATCACTTCAGCAGCCTTTCTAACTGTATGAATAGATCTCCTAATACATTGCGCATTAATAAAGGGATCGCCTCCTGCACCTTTACGTGACTCACATGAATCTGTTTTTAATTGGCGCTTTCCCTGAAACATTCATGTCCTTGGGAAACTTCTGGTTTTTCTACAATTACGCATCCTTAAATACTCTGTCCTGTGCATTACAGCATGCTTATTCAGAATAGTGAAACTGAAGAGCAGTCTCTTCTTCTTAATCATTGCTGACATTAGCCTGTCTTCCCTTTTGGAATGACCTAATACTACAAAAGTGCAGTACCAAATTGCTTTACTTAGAAACGACAAAATTGGCTAGTATTCATTTTAGAATTTGAACTGGTACAATAGTAGTTTGATTCCAGTGCCACATTTAAATGTGTCTTTACCTCACTGGTAGTGTAGAATATCAAGCTGCTTCTAAATGCCCTACATGAATGACGATAAACCGCCATACATCAACAAGAAGAGACGGCACAGTCAGATCAGTAAGACAGCTGCAGGTTGGCCTTTTGGAGTACTGCTGCTGTGCCCAGGCAAGAGCAACACTTCCATTTTCTGCATTTGTGATAATTGCTGTAAAGATCAGTCAGACTCTAGATGTCTTCTTATAATCACATCTAGATTCTTTTCAGGAGTTCAGGATGTGTTTGTTTTGATCCAGCTCCAAGGTGGCTGGATCTTGTTCGTGCCATTTTAAGCACTCTTTTGTACAAGGAATGATCTTATGTGGTACAAGGCACCAATAGCTGCAAGAAATACAGCCTTTTTTATACTAAAGAAGTCTCTTACTCCTTCCTTTCTACTACTTTCTTTTACACAAAGGGAGTTCATGGTATAGATCACAGGATTAATTCTACCACAGCTTACAAAAACTCTTAAATGAACTCGAGAATGTAGAAAACAGTAGAAGCTGTGACAACAAAGTGTCATTTATTGTTATGTACATATATCACTTGATTGAAAATGTTAAACATTAAATGAAATGCTTGCCCATTCACAAGTTGCCATTTTCAGCTAATAATGTAACATTAACTTTGGAAGGCAGAATTTTGTCTAGAAGGCAATAGAAAATGGAAATATTAGAATTTATTTCTAGCAAAAAATTAACCTTAATAGAGCTAGGTATGTGAAATATTAATCATCACCTGATGTTTTAATTTCTTTAATGAGAGTCTTCAGTTGCTTTTCTTATCTATCAAAAGAATTTAAGGGTTACAGAAGGTAATTTATAAACACAATATATAAAAAGTGTTGAAACATGTCTCCTTAAGTTGGTTTTCTCTATCTCCAGCTGTTTGAAGACATTTAAATTTCTTACCTTCCTAAAGGATGAGGAAGGTAAGAACAGACTTTCAAGGCTTGAATATTATTGAACGACATTTCTTTTGCAAAGACCTAGTTATTTTCTGTTTTATTTATGTGGAGGGTGGGTTGTGTGACATACTTTTAAAACTAAAACAATGTGATTTTGCATTGGCTGGAAATGGTTACATGGTGTATTAATTGAAAAATAAGATACATAAAAAAGTAGTTGACGAATTCTCCAGTAATAACTGTATTTCCTAATACTAAAAATGTATCATAACAATGAAGAAAAAAAAAGGAAATTAATTTCATTTAATATATACACTAGCTCCCAAGTACTCAGTGTTATATCTTGATTAAAAATAAAATATTCTCAACTTTGGACAAACATTTTTCTAAGGGGAAACAAAATTAACTTCTTGTGAAACAGCATATTCAAATCTGATAAAACAACAGGTGTAGAGTCTTCTCAGGAGTAAAATTGTGCCCCAGTAAAATCAGCACAGTATATGTAAATGAAGCAGGAGTCTCAGAAAATTATCTAAGGTTATATCTGTAAACCTGAGTTCTTGCAGTTTCTTAAAAATTGGTTCATTTCATTATGCTCATTTCTACCTCAAGTGCAAAAGAGAAAGAATAAAATTTTCCTCATGTAGGAAGAACTGTAGGTATTACAGAAATCAGTCAAACATTGATTCCTTTAAAACTAAACCTCATATTAAGTTAAATTTCACAAGTTACTCTATTGCAAAGAATTCTATGAATTATTTATAAAATACCAACATTGAAGTGTATTAAAACCAAAAGCAAACAATAATTTAACCATGGAGTTTTGATTTCTATGTTGTATTTTGAGGCTTTTGAGCTTCCCTTAAACTGTCTTTAAGACAAAGCTTATCTTTAATATGGTTTCCAGCTAAGAACTGTAGTCACCCTAACTGTCTAAGGCAATATCAAGACAGGTCAGTCTTGTTTTTTAATTCCTTACCACTATCAGTAATTTTCTCTCAAAAAAACCAATTTCAGTATATCCAAACTTGCAATTGTCCTTTGTACCTCTTTCTTCCTATAACCCTCCTCGTGGTCAATGTTTTCTAGTTGCTCGCGCTTCCATGTAAACCCTGTGTCCAAGAAAGGAGTGATTCCTTGGCTATTTCTGACTACAATCACTTCTTTTGTGCTTTCTAACTGATGTGCACAAAATAGAAATGTTAGGAGGGGAACGGAATGAACTCCCAGTACGCAGCCCAGATCCAGGTAACTGGGAAAAGGTGAGCACTCCCCAGCTGTTGCCCCATTTTTGCTTTTGCAGTGTTACTTACATTCTCAAAATACTTCACCTTAGCACTCCCCGTGATGCATGGTTAGTTCACCCTTCCAAATAGATTCAGATAAAAATTCAACCGATGTCAGTGCTTTTGTGTGATAAACCATGTTTTTTCCAATGTTCTTGACAGTTCAGTCAGGATTTTAGGTAACCATTACTGAGTTCAACGAGCACATTTTACTGTCTTCTAATAGGACAACAAGGATGAATGGAAGGCTGTGAGACCAAGTGATAGCAGGACTGACAGAGGAGAATGGTTTGGGGTCAACCTGCTATAGAATTCAGACATTAAACCAAGCTGAGTCTAGAATGTGTGTCTCCCTTCTATCACTCTACATATACAGATATATGATAAAGAAGAATTATTATATACAGTCCAATGATGATGTAAACATTTGATGGCTATTACAGAAATCCTTGCATTGCACTAGTTTTATAGGATAGAAAAGTTGCTCCCCTCACCTGCTGAAACAACAAAAAAAATCACATATGCTTCCTATGTGCAGGTATCTACATGAGAGAATACTTTTAGAGATGTATGACAATTTCAAGATATGGTTAATAAAAGCTATCTACCTTGATCTTCTTTGAAACAGTATTTTCCTTAAAGAAGGATGAGGAAAACCTAAACCTGATTTAAAAGAAATTAATTTTTATATGTAGTTTAATATTACACTGAAGGGTGCAAAAATCCAGCAGCCCATCTAGTGCTTTTCAGCTCCCATCATACTGTCTGCAGTGCAATTCTTAGATCACTAATACATACAATGTATGATAAAGCTGACCTAAATCTATAAAATTGTGAGAATAGATTGGTGATTTTCTATTCAACACTACACTGTCTGGCTGCCGAAAAATATAATGTAAACCAAACACCATCTCCATGGTAATATGGGGGTCAACTGTAATGAATATGAAGCTAATTGCTGTATTTTCGTGGATTATAATAAAAATAATGACCTGCAAGTCAGGATTTCCCTGGCTGGTAATAATAACATGAGCTAAAGAGCTTCTGGCTAACAACAAACTGCTAGGCACATTTCCCTGGTGAATGAGTTCTCCTTAATTAAACTTCACTGAGGGAGGTGCTACATATTTTACCAACTAAAACCAAAACCAAAGCCACAAAATAAAAGAAAGCCAGCTTACAAAGTGGGGATATATCTGTGTTGACATTTCCTCCTTTAGGATTCATCTTCTGAGCTTGACTTGCAGGAACAGGCTTATATGATTGACCTGTGGCTCTGTACATAGCTTGAACCCAGAGTATTCTATCTTGCTCATCGTCACTCGCAAATATCACGGTATCGCCTTCTTTAACAGCATTGAAAAACATTCGACCACCCTGAAGACCTGGAGCAGCAAATAGAAAGGTAATCTTAATAAATACAAGTTACTTCTAAATCACCAGCAACGTTTATTATATTACTGGTTTTCCTCAGTGTGTGTGGGCAGGGGAGTGGGTGTTAAAACATTTTATTGGTATTTAGGTCCTAGAAATATGATAAAATATAGAGCTATAAGGATCAAATGGAATACATGGAAGTAACATATAAGTAGAGTAAATATAGAAGTCACAGGAGAAAATATTTCCCTAATTCCATTCCCAATTCAATTTCATTTTATTTCTTATTCATCTTCTCTGTATCATATGCTATTTTCATTTCTCTAACAAATCTTTCTCCTCAGCATCATTTTCTCAGCTGGAACTCCCCATTAACTTCATTTCTTCTTGAACAGAGGCAGCTTCGTATCTCTTATCGGTGCTTCTGCTCTTTCCTTGGTACCTTTTTCTCATTCTAGTGTTCTGTTCTGAGAGCGCATAATCAGAACAGCACACACCAGTCAATGTGCCTGCACTGGGGATTTTTTTATAACAACATTATTTTGGCTTTCCAAACACCTTCTGAGCATTGTTTGCCTTCTCAATTATGCTAAACATTGAGCCAATGTTTTTGAAGATCAATCTTCAATATTTTAGAAGTCTCTTAAATTCATAACCCTGCACTGTATAGGTAGAATTGTTTTTCTCTACTTGTGTAATTTTGATTTCCCTCTGCCATTTTAATATGAACTTGTGTAGATTTTTCTCTCAAAATTTATTTTTGATTAATCTGAGTAATTTGTCTTTAGCAAGCACTGTCATCATTCATTCTTTTCTAAATCATTTATGAATATGCTGCACAGTACTCTGACACATGGTTCCACCATCAAAAAGAGAGAGAAAAGGGACAGACTGTCTAGAATTCTTAATTTTTTCCTTGTATCGTATGTGGTCTTACAATGTTTCAGGCATCATTAGTGTAAGTTCTTCATACAACAAGCTTCTTTCTAAAACCATGATTTTTTCACACTACAAAATCATAGAGGAATAATTACAAAACCTTCAGATGCTGAAAAAAAGAACCTTGGGTTTTTTGCTGCTAGATCAAAATGAACGCATTGAATCAGCTGTTTTACAAAAACATACTGTACTTCAAAATCATGAAAAATACCTGTGTGAGGAGCTGTATAATCCACAGTGTACCCTTCGAGTTGCATCAGTTCCTGAGGCTCAGACTTCTTTTCTCTGTAACTGCACATTGCAAACGTGTATTGGCTAACCTGAATAAGAAAGAACTTCTTAATTGCTGAATTCTATCCCAGAATTGTATAACACATGCACCAGGGTTTAAATTAGCTTTCAGTTCTGCTGAAGAAATAAACCCAATTTTTTTTCCATAAATATTCACAGTGTAAAACTTTGCATTCTTTCCCCTTCCTGCCAACATGAAGGGAAAAAAAGCCATAAACACATCTCTCTGCAGCTTCCTGAAATGCAATGTATTTTGGGCTGCTGCTTTATGAAAAAATGAAAGGAAGCAAATTAGGTTCTGGTAGGGAAAATACTTGGTACTGACCAAACCGCTCAGTCTACTGTGTGAGAAAAAAAGTCCTGTAGTCCAAGCAGCTGAAAAAAATGGACTTTTATGTATGAAAGTGCTGTTTGCAGAAGGAGTGCCACAACAATCATGCAGCTGGAAAGATGAACACAAAATCTGGCCAATTCTACTTAAAGATGGAAAGTACCAGAACCTTCAGTTCGATTTTATATTTTAATTTCTGCATCTTTTGCACCTGTATTCACACCTATCTCCAGGCTGCTTGGCTCATTGGACACAGTACTACGTAGGCCAAGCAGCTTGCAGCTGGCATGAATGTCAGTTACTTCTCATCAAGTACAATTATTAAAAAATAATAAAGCAATAAGAAGAGAATCTTTCATCATGTGGTTTAAGACTCCCTAGACAGAATAGAAAGCGATAAGGAGAGCTGAGGAAAAAGTGACCGGAAAGATAAAGAAAGGAATGTAACAGCTGGGAGAGAAAAGGAAAGACTGAAACAAAACTGAGATGTTCCCAGACTTAAATGAAGAGCTGGAAAGACTATAAAAGGTGACCAGAAGAAAGAGTTTGTGAATTTGTGAACACTTGAAATGTAAGAGAACTGAATTTACATGGGCCTCTCAAACTCTTGTTTTGAACTAGAATATAATTTCTGAGATCTGTAAAACTATGCAAGGATCTAAGGATAGGCGAGGAACTCTTCTGATAGATGATGGACCGTCCTTACCTCAGTTGCTCACTGCTCAGCTGTTACCTAGATTTATTGCTTTGGCTACAATTTCAGGAATGATCCTTTTTGAAGTAAAATTTCAGCTGCATTCATACATTCGCTGGTGCTGTACCTGCACACCACTCCACCTCAAAGTCCAGTGACTTTAACTGCTACTGACAAAAGATTTTTGACACTCTGTAAAAGACTGAGATTTTTGGAAAATAAGGATAGAAGGTGTGATTGTTATCTGCATAATGCTCTAAAAATATTTCACTATTTTAAGTATTTGGTGTTTTTTGAAACAGGATTACGCTGTGCTACTTGTATGCAGCGTATGGTGACTGAGCATCCTCTGCCTCAGCGTGCAGAAGCGAAAGGAACACGGGTAACAGCTCGCTCGGCAAAATTGCCATCAGGCCTCAAACGCTGAACTGATGTCTCCAGAACCATAGCAGAAATCTACAGCTGAGACAAACTACACATAGGTTTTCCAGTTTAATTAATACAGTAGTTAAGCGAAGGCGATTTTATAGGAGATAAGAATTTGAAAGACACTGTCAGGCAAATAAAACTGAGTGCCAGCTTTCCACATCAAATTCAGTACATTCAGTTAAGTGGGCTGTATCAAGGAGAGAGAGCTAAATATAAATAAACACAAAAAACAACTAGTCCATCACTTTCAGAAATTCAGATTTTCAGGCTAGAAGGGACTATTGCAACCAGCCAGCCAGTCCTCCAGCATAACATACACGACGGAATTTCACCTTGCTGTTTGTGCATAGTTTTGCTTTCACTTTAAATTTTCAAATTTAGGAAATTACTGTATTTTGGTTTAAAGATTTTAAGTTATCCCTTGGGTGGCAGGGCAGGGCCTGGCAGCCAGGGCCCAGCCAGGAGCAGGGCAGCCGGGGGCAGCCCAGCCCAGGCACTGGGCACCTCCCCGAGCACAGGCCAAGGCTGGGCCGGGATGTGGGCCTGCGGCCGCTGCCCGCTC